CTCTCCCCAACAGCCTTCCCGAAGAGTTTGATGACACGAACTCAAACTTTTATATGATGACACGAACTCAAACTTTTATATGATTGAGGATGAGGATCTGATCGCCTTATCCCGCTCGCCATCCAACCTTTGATCCCTAACAAATCTCCCTCTACCTCTTACTCCTTTCTCCGTCAATCGAGAATTATAGGCTTCCTTCCCTCGTCCCTCTCTCATGATTGTGCCCAAAACCATCGCCTTTATGACCTAACCCTTGTGATACAATCACGATTAGAACTAGTTACGAAGGCAACAATGGGAACATGGCATATAAAGACCACCAAAACTCTATCTTCCTACTTCCTCAATCGAGCAAGCATCATGAGCACATCCTCTTCATTCTTTTCTTTTCACCTTTTATTCAAATATATTTCATATATATATAATATATATATATATATATATATATTGGTAAAAAGAGCTACTTGTGGCTCTCTACATGTTGATAACAAGTAAGAGTACAAACAAAGAGAAAGGAGAAAAAAAGGACCCCACAAAATACAAAAAATATCTAAGGTCTAAGGGGTTCCTCTAACATCTAACTGGCTACAAGCTCAACCATTAGTTACAATTCTTAGGTATGGTATCTGCAATTTATCCCCTTTGAGCAAGCAGGCCAGGGGTGAGGGGGGAGTAGTGCACACTATGATCCTCTGAGAATCGGCTCCATCTATGGCTAAGAAGTTAGCAGGTCTGTTTCCTTTTCTGTATATGAAAGAGAACCTCACCTTGATCTCCTTGCAAAGTTGTTGCATCTTGATGATCCACTGCTGAATATGCCAAGGGGGTTAGACCTAGCTGTCATGTAATCAACAAGCTGAGAAGAATCCACCTCAGCAAGTAAGTGAGTCCCTATTCATAACAGTCATCTTAAGAGCCCAATATAGTGTCATAGTCTCAGCTTCAATGGCATCTTCTGCCATTATAGGTGCTTTAAAGCAAAGAATGCATTTGCCCTTATGGTCCTTGAAGACCCCTCCAATGCCTGCCTTGTTGGGGAGAAGCTTCCATCAGTGTTAAATTTAATGAAAGGATGCTTTGGTTTCTCTCATATAACCTTGATGATCTTATAATCTTTCTGATCTTCAGTTCTACTAATCTGCAAAATGTTAGGAAAATTTTTCCATTGAATCAGCTTCCTTATAAAAGCCAGGCAATTAATCACCACCTCACCAGTGTTAGACTCCATATCCTCATGTTTAGACTTGTTTCTGGCAGCCCAGATAAACCATGCTATGATAACAGGGATGGGGCCCAGATTCAGCTTGTGCCAATCAATCAAGCTCTCTCCTAAGTTTTTCCAGCCCAAGTTTATGGCGTTGACATGAAGATGTGCTTGCAGGGAGTTCCACACCTTTCTGGAAAAAACAAAGTTAAAGAACAGGTGGTTCGATGATTCCATATCATTTCTGCATAATAAACACATAGAAGGTCCCTTCAGCCCTTTTAGCTTCAAAATGTCATCAGTAGGGATAAGGTCATTGAGCACTCTCCAAGAGAAGGACATGGAGGGGGTTAGGGATTTATTCCACAAATACTCACTCCAAGGGATTAAATCCCATTGGTACAGCTTTTTGTATATAGCTTTAGATATGCTTTGGTTGGAGCTGGAGATAAGAGCCACCTTGTCTTTTCTGTTCCTGTCAAATTGTATTTTGGCAACCATACTAACAGAGTGATCTTTTAGAATTGTATGGAGAATCTCCTCAGACCAGGACTGATCTCTCCAACAATCCTTCACCAGCATATAACTGTCCTGACTGTCTTCCAAAGGTTCCAAGAAATCAGCAGGACACCAGTTATCTAGCCAGAAATTGATATTGCCTTGACCCAACTCCCATATGTAAAGTTTCTCTGCCTTGTCCTTCACTTTAAGCATTTGTCTCCAAATTCTAGAGTCCCCCATCTTGTTAGCCACAAGGTTAGGATGTTCATTTCTGCAATATTTGGCAAGCATAAATTCAGCCCATATGTTCTCTTTGTCTGAATTTTAACCACAGTCTGCTCATACTAATCTGCTTTAGTTGTTGAAAGCCTTTGAACCCAAGTCCACCAGCATACAAGGGTTTTGCCACCTTCTGCCAACTAGCCCATAGCATTTGTTTTCTTTGACCAGTCCACAGGAATCTATTGAAGGTTCTCTCCAAAAACAGCTGAGTACTCCTTTTCATGGTTGCCACTTGAAGGATATACATTGGGAAAGTAGTTAGGATGCTCTTTAGAAGTGTAATTCTACCCCCATTAGACAAGAAAGAGCTTGCCCAACTTTGAAGGGTGGAGTTTGTTTTATCCACTATCTCATCAAACTGAACCCGTTTGGTTCTCCCCCTAGTTAAATTAACCCCCAAATATTTGAAAGGAGTGTCCATGGAAGTGAATACAGTGAGATCTAGTGTCCAGTGTCTGCAAACAATGGGGACTTTTTTGCTGAAAAGTATTTGACATTTTTCTTTGTTAACCTTCAGCTCTGAAGTGTGTTGAAATTGCTGTAGGCACTCATGGAGGTGTTTGATGGCTGACTTATTAGCTCTGGAGAATATTAAAATATCATCTGCATAGATAAGGTGGCTGATGTCCAATTTAGATCTGTTATGATATATATTATGGCTCTTCTTGTTGTTGGGTTTGCCAATAAGTTTGGGCAAGTAGTCTAGAGCCAAAATAGAGATGATTGGGGAGAGGGGGTCTCCTTGTTTCAAACCCCTAATTGCTTTAAAACCCATGAGTTTTTCCATTGATTAATATTAAATTTGCATTATCCTCTAGCCATCTTTTGATAGTCTAACAGGAGTCAGAAGAGAAACCTCTAGCCCTCAGGATCTCCATGATAAATTCCCAATTAACCATATCATAAGCATTTTTTAAATCCATTTATATATCATATTGCCCCCCCCCCCCTCCAAGGCTTTCTCGCAACATCTCTTGAGCAATCAACACATTATCACCAATGCTT